TTATAAAGGTTTGGCAGAGTATATTTCTACATACATATTTGTATGTGCTATAAATATATCCATGTAGATAGTATAACAAACAGGGGCCAAAGTTATGAAAACTTCTTTTGATTATAACCAAACACCTTGAGGGAATGAGTCACTGGGCTTGGAGGCTTAGGACCACATCTCAGGAAACAGCTAAGTTGGTTGGCATAACATAGTTTTCAAAGAGAGTGTTCTAGATCCTACTGTGGGTAGTAGTGACTGGGGTCTTAAAAGCTCACAAGCAGTATCTAAGATGCAGTTATTGATCTTTTCCCAATGGGAGCAAAGAAAACTGAAGAAAATCAAAGATTTAAGGAAACAACTAGTCCAAAGGACTAATGGACCATGTGAACCACAGCTTCCACTATCTTAAGCCCAGTGGTGCCTAGCTACCACTACTGACCACTCTTGATTTGGACCATGGGATGCCCTGGACAGAATGGGAGAAAATTGTAGAACAAAATTCAAAATCATGAAAAAGACTAGATTTACTGATCTGATAGAGATTGGTGGAACCCTTGAGACTGTGGCCCTTAGACACCCTTTGTGGTAGTTAAAGTTGTATGTCAACTTGGCTGGGCCATGGTTTTTAGTGGCCTGGCAGCTGGATATAATTATTCCCCATATGATATTGTAATCACCTCCATGGTAGAATCTGCTGTGAGTAGCTAAGCAATTGGAGGGTAGTTATCTTCAGGGCATTACCTGCTTCTAGCATATATGGAGAAGCTTTGGGAAAATTCTCTAGTTCTTTGGCACATTTGGATCCTATGTTTGGCCGAGTCTTCATCTGTAGTTCTTGGACTTGAATCAGTGCCCTGCCATTTTACCTGCTGACGTTGGGTTTATCAGCCTCAGCAGCCAATAGTCACATGACTTAAGAGATGCCTCCAGCTCCACTGGGCCTGGAACAAGGGCCAGAGCTGAAGCCCAAGGTCAAGGGACCTTCACTCAGCCCCTAGAGCTGGCACTCTGAATTCAGACTCCGAAACTGTGACAGAATAAATTCCCATTTGTTAGAGCCATCCACTTGTGGTATATCATTATAACCACACTAGAGAACTCAGTAACCCTTCAAACCTGGAAGTGAACCATCCTCAGGGATCACCTTGCAGTCAAATGACAGAGAAGCCTAGAAAGACAACACTAACAGCTGGGATGAATGCACTTCTCAGAACAATCAACCATAGGAGCTTTAAAGGCCAGCATTTGTCCCAAAACAAAGCTCAGAAGGCAGGTAAATGTAGGAAGAAGGATAAACGGATATAGAGAACCCAGAGAGGAAGCAGGAAGAGTGCTGTTACATTGAAGACGTTGCAAGTAATGCTTAAAAGAAAAAAGTGTATAAATTGTTGAATCGAAAATTTTCACCCAAACTGTAATTAAAAAAAAAAGTTTATAATTAACAGAGTTAGTAATGGCATTTCAAAAGCTACGATAGATAACAGATCTGTGGGATAGAGATCCTGGACTCATAGTCTAATTCTCAACATTTTTCGATGTAGAATCACAGACATTTCGGGTTGTGTGGGACCTTGAGTATTGTATTATCTACTGAATCGTCAGTAGAGCCAACCATAGGCAACATTGCTAACCAGGAAGTGTTCAGTATCTCAGAAATGGTTTCAGTTTTATTTAAGAAAAGAAATTTGCTTGAAGTGCATCAATTACAGGCATATGAGCTGAGCATTGACCTTAGGTAGATACACTCCTTGGAGAGATCAATCATGGGAAAATAGAAATATGCACAGGAAGACAGCGCAGAGGGCAGGAGTGCATGGGAGGAAAGGACACAGTAAAGAGGTAACTATGGGAAGGAAGTGGGAAGAGTGCTCCTGCATTGTTGGAAAATTGCAGTCAATGTCATGAGACAAAGTGTATGTGAGCTGCTGCTCTGTAAACTTTCACCCAAATCACAATAATTTTTTTTTTTTAAATAAGATCAATTAAGGAATAATGAAATATAAATCTATTAAAGTAAAATGTAGCAAAATATTAATAATTACAGATAGAGTCTAGGGAGTGTATAGGTTGGTATAGTGGTTAAAGCATTTGGCTGGTAATCAAAGGTTGGTAGTTCAAACCCACCAGCTGCTCCATGGAAGAAAGATGAGGAGGTCTGTTTCCATAAACATTTACAGCCTTGGAAACCCAGTGTGTCAGAATTGACTTGATGGCAGTGGGTTTCTTTATTCTACTGAGGGTATGTATATGTGGATGTTTACTGTACTCTCATTTCAAAATATGTTAAGGAAGAAAGAAACTTGAAAAAAGAAGATGTCTACTGCAAGGAATGAATGGTGGGATTCTAGCATTATCTGTATATCTGAGGGAAAACATCTGTGAAAAGGGACATTCTTTTTGCCAAATTGCATTATATTTTTCTAAAAACATATTATTCAGCTCAACTAGAGATATTCCTTATTACCTCAACCAGCATCACAATAACAAGAGTATTATGAAACTGGAGAATTTTAGGATTCTGGAAATCACACTAGAACTAGAAGTAAGAAAACTAGCCCACTGGCCTCCTGATGTATAACGAGCTTTTACAACTCAATAATAAAAAGACTTTAAAAGGAGCGGAGGATTTGAATAGATCCTTCTCCAAAGAAGACTTACAGATGGGCAATGAGCACATCCAAGATTCTCAGCATGATTAGTCATCAGGGAAATGCACATCAAAGCCACAGTGATACCACTTCATGGCCACTAAGATGGCTGTAATCAAAGATAGACAATAGAAGCCTTGGTGAGGAGGACAAATTGGAACCCTCACGTACTGCC